GGTGGGGGGCCGCCTCTGTGTGCTTCTCTGGGGCAAGCTCCCCGTGGCTTCCACTGGCAAAGCCTGTGACGGGTGACTAAGGCTCCAGCCCCTCACTGAGCTGTCCTGTGCCGGCGCCCGGCTTCTCAAGAATGAAGGAATGGGGGAGTGGGTGCCTGCGGACCAGATTGTCTGCTCTCAGCCTCTCTCCCTCCACGCAAAAGACTTGAGTCCCTGCACGGGCTCCAAGAGGCCCCGGAGGACACAGTGCAGGGAGGCATGGGCTGTGTCTTCCAGGAGCTCAGAGGTTAAGGGGTGGCGTGAGGGTGGAGGGAGTAGAGAGATGACTGAAAACCTCATACAGTGTGACCAGGGCTTGTAGGGAAGGATGGGCAGACGCCAGGGAGGCTCAGGGAGGGGAGGGACAGGAAGTCTGGCTTTATAGGTGAGGGCACTTGATCTGGATGGTGCCCAGCAGGGAAGGCCTGCAGAAGAGAGGGAACAACAGTATGGGTCAAGGTCCAGAGGTGTGCTTGAGGAGCTGGGCTCTGGGGATGGCCTCCCCGCAAGGCCTGGCCAGGTGAGCCGGCCAGCGGACAGCAGGCTGGAAGTTCGCCTTGTGCTGCTTGCACGTTATCTGGGTGCGTGGTTTGGGCTGGTGTGCAAGGGGACCCCACAGAGCCGCTTCCTGGGTCACCAGGCCAGGGGTGTTGCTCTCAGGGCTGAGGTAGGCAGAATCTGCAAGATGCCGGGAGCTGAAGTCATGTCCCAAGCCGGGTGCATGGGTGGGAGGGGCTGGGGAGCCGGCACGGCGGGCATGTCTGTGGGCCTGTCCCCTGGGGGCACCCAGCCTGGCTCTGGCTGCAAATGGAGGGCCTCAGAGCTTAGACTGTCTTACCAGGCCCCTCTGCCTCCAGCCCTCCATATACACACCCAGTGCAGGGTCAAGGGCGAGCCTTGGGTGGCTGGCTCGTGGACCCTTGCAGCTCTTTCTCTGGATTCTGTGTGTCCAGAGCTCCGATCTGTACCGGTGTACATGCTCTGGTCCAGCCAGATTTGTAAAGTAGAATTGGGGTCATGATAGTGGGGAGGAGGAAGCATTAAAGAACTAGAGGAACGTTGTGTGTTTCATTGGTGCTATACTGCACCCTGACTGACTCATTCTTTCCTTGTGACCCTTCTGTGTGTGCGGGAATGTTCAATTGTCTACAGATGGGATTAGGGTCTCCATCCCGACTCACCTCTTCGCATTAATATGATTGTATGCTTTGGGTCTTCTGATACCTGATCCATCGACACCTCATGATCCCACAAGTTGGTACTTCTTCCGTGTGGGCTTTGTTGTTTCCCTGGTAGATGGCCACTTGTTTAACTCCAAGCTTTTAAGATCCCACACGCTATAGTTTTTGATAGCCGGGCACCATCAGCTTTCTTTGCCCAGCAGCTCAGAGGCTGTTCAGCTTTTCGTGCCCCATCTGTGAGGTCCTGCCAGGTCCGAGGGAGGGGTATGGGCTGCCAGCAGGTGCCCTTCTACTGCAGGGAGCCTTTATCCTCTCTGGCCAGACCCGGGAGCCTATGCTACGTTCTACCTATCGATGTGCTACCATTTTTACATTTTTGTTATTTTTATTCCCTATTCCTTCCTCTCCTCCTGACTTCTCTGTAACCTTCCAAAGCGGCTGCACTTGGTGTGAAAACCCTTTCTTTATAAAAAGTATTTATTTTTCCTGTTTGTGATAATGGTCGCACACAATAGTTGTCTTTTGGGAACCGGCTGAGTTTGTTCAGCATATCTCCCCAATCCGTGCTGTCAGGAATGCTCTTCGGCGATGTGTAGCATGCTATTGTGTACACATCCCGGGGGTAGCAGGCACCCAAGTCTGTGCCCCATTCCTTCACAGGTGGCGTGTTCCCATCCCTCGACTCTTGTGGCTAAGGCTGGGATGACCATAGGGGTGGCACAGCTCCACTCATGCTTTGCTCCTTAGTTCTTTAGAGCCGTGCCTAGCCAAGAGATTGGGGGATCATGTGGTCTCTCTAGTCCTGGTAGCCTGAGGAAGTGCCGCACTGCTCTGCACAGCAGTTGTATAGCTCTACAGTCCCACCAGCCGTGTGTGGGGCTTCCAATCTCTCCACAGCCTCTCCAGCACTTACTAGTTTCTATGTGTGAAATGTTGCCACACTGCCAGTGTGAGGTGGCACTGCGTCGTGGTTTTGATTAGCATCTCTCTCACGGCCAGCAATCACGAGCATTTCTTCCTATGTTTCTTGGCCAAATGGAGCTGGACTTATGGGGACCAGTACCCAGGGGCAACTTCAGACCCCCCCAGCAGGTCTGAAGTTCAAGGCCTTTGGTGGACCACCTCAGCCTTTGTCCCCACTCTGGCTGCCACATAGCTTCTAGCAGAGGGCCGTGTCTGGGCTGTGGTCCTCTTGGCCCTTTCCTTCAGGGCCCCCTTCCCGCCCTTTTCTATCTCTTGCCCCAGAACTAGTGACAAGGCCCACAGCCTCCCCCTTCTCTTTGGAGCATCCCGAGGGACGGCCGGGAAGGAGCGACTGACTGACATGCTGGATTCGGTCCACCTGGAGGCCTAACCGCACCTGCAGGTAGACCTTCCCCCACCTGCCTGTGCCTTCAAATAGTAGCTCCTTCCACTCAAGTCATTCATAAACTGTGTGGAGTATGTGTGTGAAGGGGGATGGGTTGATGCAGGGGCTGTCTGGGGCACAGAGATGATGACTGGGGTCTCCCGGGCAGACCTGGCATAAAGGGTCATTCATTCCTGACAGGTGTGAGGGCTGCTGCGTCTGGCCGGGGCAGCCAGAGCTTTCAGCGGGACTTAATCAGGGCTGGGTGCCCCCACCCTACCCCAGAACATCGGGACTGAGCTGTGGGATGGGGGTGGAGGGGATGGGACACTGAGCCTGGAGCGAGAGAGCGGTCCGGGAGAGCAATTGGCCCGGGCTCCCGAAGAGCCAGTTGAGGCCACAGTGTGAGATGCTGGGTGCGGATGAACTGCCCTCCGAGCTGGGGCTCCTGAGCCCCGTTTTACTGATGGGAAGTCAGGGCTGAGCGGCTTCCCGGCCTGATCTGGCTCGTAACTGGCCAGCGCAGAGCCGATATTGCAAACCCGGCCTTCACAGCGTGCAATGGCTGTGCTTTTGAGGGAGTTGACCTTTCCCTCAGCGGCTCTCTTCTCCCTGCAGGTCTTTGAGTGACAGGGGGGAAGGGGGGGCCTGGCAGGAGGATTTCAGTCATCACTGAAGCAGGGGTAAGGATAGCCACTCAAGCGCATAAGAAACTGTCAGATTCCGATCATTGTACTTGGTGCCCAGGCCCAGCCCTCGGGAAGCGGTCCCACCCCTTGGGCCCAGCTTCCTCAGCTGTGGACGGAAGGCTGGAGTTGGAGGCCTGCCAAGCTCCCTCCGGCTCGCAAAACCGAGCCCCGCAGGTGCTCCTCATCCTGGGCCTGCACGGACTCTGGCTGCTCCGCGTCCGGAAAGGCGAGCCTCGGGGACTCAGCTCCCAGGTCTGGCCAGAGAGGATAAAGTCTCCCTGTAGCAGAAGGGCACCTGCAGGAGCCAGGCCCAGGGAGTCGGACCTCAGCGACCATCCGGAGAGTCTGATGGTCCTTGCTGCCAGAGCCCGCTGAGGCCCAGAGAGGGAAGTGGCTTGCCCTTGAACCGGCTGGGCAGGGCTGACAGGAGAGGTCTGGTCCCCAACATCCCCTCAGTCCTGGTTGGAGACCTCCAAGGTTACTGAGCGTTCTTCCT